GGAACAATTTGGTCCCTTTCACTCGTCTAATTTAGTTGTTGCAAATGAAATTATTTCACAGCAGGGTTCACGCTGTACGTTCCTCAAAGTCGTCCCTTCCTTCAAAATCATTTTTGATCTTCGGTCACCTGTTTCTGGGAAATTCGTCCAAAGGAATATACTTGCGTGGATATACAGGGCGAGCTATCCTAGACTCCGAATCTCGGAGGAGCCTCCGTATCTATTGGGTGCGCTTTGGCTCTAACCAGATTACCCGCACCCTAAGGCAAGGTGTTCTTGATATCCTATCATAAGCCTGTGAGGCTACTGATCCGCACTGATAGTTTTCTATTCGAATAGCTCGCTCGGTTCTCTGTCGACGATCGAGTGTAACTTCTTATCGATTACTCGCTTACGGAGTCATTGAAGTTTTCGTGTCAATCTCACGTTAATCGGCGGCCGGGAAGGATAACGGTTCCTCCCAGATTCGGAGTTTAGGATAATTCAGCCTGTATATATTGTTACATAGGGCAATGCTGTTTCATGCTGCGCAGAAGTAGACAAAGAGAATTTGCATATCGTCTAGATAATGTAGGTTGAATCGGCACAGAAGATGAGTGAAAGGAGGCGGAAAAGTGAGAGAGCAATAGACTACTATGAAATTTGCGAGGGATTATGGCGGTACAGCATTCTGGCTATACGTACAATACAGTATGCAAGCTCAATCGGTAGGAATTCACTAGTGGAATGATATCCCACAGGATGGCTGTATGTAATTCTCATTAGCCCGGTTCGTGGCAATGCCTGCCGGATAGTCGGACTCAATTAGTACGATAACCAATTGCCGAGGACAAGGGTTTCCGGCTTCCGGTTCGAGGACCCGCGAGATCCGTTGCCTGCCGTATATTATACACACGTAACGAACGTACGTGCGATTTCCACCCACACAATGTCGACACCCCCTCGCACCCTCTACGTCAGTCGCCCCTGTTGCTGGTTACTCTGGCAGCTCTAAATCGCCTATTGGAGCATTGGATGTCACAGATAAGGGCCACACTATTGCGCCGCACTCTAAGGATTCTCCGGTCTCTGCCGATTTCCCTCTTGCTCGACTCTTTGTCTCCGAGAGCGACAGTCGCGACTTCCAGCTTGGAGTCACCGACGCTAATTGCTTACGTAATAAAGTCACTCGGAGCTCAGTCAATTTATTCGATAGCGATTATCTTATGGAAGACCTGTAATGACTCCCGTTAATTTACGCGAATCTATACGACCATGCGGCATTTACTGGGAATCGAATTAAGCCAGAGACACGCTGAACGTTATTGCTTGGCTGGTATCCCGGCAACCCGGCAACCCGGCAACCCGGAAACCCGGGAACCCGAGCTTGTTGCCAAGGTGCGTTATGATGCACTCTCAATTATGATGCACCATTTTGAATTTGACTACGGCTTCCGTGGAAGCGCCAAACCTCGCGTACGCGTATTCAATTGAATGGATTTATTGAAAAGCGCTATCGATTCCTTACCGCTTCCAAATCCGTGATGCTCTCTCTACGCCTTTCTGTCACTCATTTAACTAGCGGCCCTTGCCTCGTATGCCTCAGCTACGCCACTACGTGTATCGACTCTCTACAACGTTTAATCCTTTCTAAAAGTATCGCGATTACATAGAGTGATAAGTTGTCAAATCTGCTGATTGAGATTTAACGATTTTCCGATTACACAAGAATGTAGCTAGATACAAAAAAAAAAAAAAGAAAGACAGAATTGCATTGTTGCATGCAAATATCATGCCACTGAAGCTGGAATCGAGGGGTATTAACTGACGTATATCTGGAGCATAATCTCCTAGTTAATTACTACGATAAGAGGGTGTACACATGTGCGGGCGGACACGTATATAACGGGATTTGGATGATAGGGAACCATTGGGAAATGCCGGAAGGATTAATCGCTGTGGAATGAACGGAATGGAGTGGCGGATGCGTGGCCGGATCTGCACCAAGGAGAAATCGAGAGATCGAGAAATTACAGGCCAGATGAGAAACGAGGATCTTCGTCATTGTTATTCGATATTCGTTCGAATGCCGGATGGTAATTAATCACAGGCGCGTAATCTGTATCTAAGGATACTTGGCGTTCGCATCAGTCCAAAGATAACTAAAGCAGTGTGATGATATCCAAAAGGATACTCCTGCCTCGTATTCCCAAAGACTCGACCAGCGAGAGAAAAGCTTCTGGAGCACAGCATCCTGGCTAATGGGATTTTACTTGTGTCGAATGAGAAACGAGGAGCAGTGCGACGAAGAAAGGAAGTGGGAAAGTAGACCGAGGCGAAGTAAGAGGCGATTGAAGAAGATCTGTGAGTAACGTTTTAATGGACGTGACAGTAAGAGGCAAATTCAAATGATACGGGCAAACTCCGCAGATCGATGGCGGCGCTGCGTTCGCGGTTACCTAATTCTTCTAGAAAGACTCCCCGAGCGTCTTTGCTCTTTCTGCTTACTGGATTTCTACGACGCGAAACATGGAGGCGGTTTCAAACGTGCAAACGAAAGTAAGGAGGAAATAAATTCTTCCGGGATATATCCAGTTGCGTCTCGTGCAGCTGCCGGCTTTTAAACGATTCCAGAAGGTATCTTGGTGTTTCTCGACCTTTCTTACTTATACTTGCTTTATTTTCTTATCCTTTTTTATTGCTTCTTTCCTCCCTCTCCCCCTCTCGCTCTTTCTCTCTCTGTTCAATATTCCCAGCTTCCTTCTCAATGGCTCCGATACACGGTGACCTACAATTCTGCATAAATACAGTGATGTGGAAAATTTTGTGTCGCGCATTAATTGTACTTCTCGAAATCTCGATACAATCGATTCTCTTTGCGTGGAACGAGCAAATGTTTTTTCCATTGCCTCGTTCTTTTTTATTTACCATCAGCGATGATTCGAACAGATTTGGAATTGCGAACGGAAATGTGCTGGAAAGCCGAACGATGGACTCGCGTGTTATTCGCCAAAGCAAACAAGGAATCCTTGAGAAATCCTGGAATAAACGTCGCCTTTGGGTCCTGGCCAGGAAACGTCGAAGGACGAACACGAAATCCCTCGGACGATCAATGTCCCACGTTACATTAGCTATACATGTAGGTTAGGTTACATACGTGTTTATATACAGCACATCCGCGTACATCGAGAGACCCCAGGACACTTGGACACTTCCTCACCCGGTGTCTCTCTTTCGTTTTCTTTCTTCTTTTCCCTGTCACTCTCACATCTTTCTTTCTCTTTTTTTTTTTCCATTTCCTTCCCAGAACCTGTTACAGAAGTTTCCATTGCACGACAGGACAAAGAGACGCGCGGTAATCGCCTTCGCGTCTACCGTGACGCGTGCGTATTGGTGACGTGGCAAATTCTCTCCTCTCTCTCTCTCTCTCTCTCTCTCTCTCTCTCTCTCTCTCTCTCTCTCTCTCTACCATACGGAGTCCAGTGAGCCATTCGGACGCAGCGTTACGGGCTACAATTTCATTCTTCTCTCTCGTGAACAATTATTGTCACGCAGCGGTCATTGTTTCGATTGGTCCCTATTGGCCCTCAAGGGCTTCATCCCAGGATCGATCAACTCTGGACGCTGGAGTTTTTATTCAGCCGCGTCCCTGTGAGACCCTGAGCACACGGAGTCCTCAAGGCTTACCCTATTTGCACGACGCATATTAGATCCGAAGAATATGAGCTAATTAGTTTTCATCGAGACTTCGAAGGCGACGATGATCGTGGGTGACGTGAAACACGCTAAGCTCATCGTATCCGTCAACTTGGCGGAAAGTGCGCCGAGAATTCACCCCTGACTTTACAACTTGCCGCCGTTCTCAATACTCGTAGTATTATCAGACTCTGCGAATACCTGCTTTCTGCCTATACCCTTTGCCCTCTGAACTCCACTTTTGTACGCGCGCTATTTCTACTGCGACACTGAAGTTTTCTCACAACTTTAAATTTTTCGTGAAATCAGTGAAACGCTATGGCGTCAAGTGGAACTTGGACAAAGTTCAAATTTCTTTCGACTCGCTTTCGCAAATGACGAAATGAATCTCCAATCGTTTCGGCCTCGTTTGTTTACGTCAACTTTGCAGGAAATTGGTAGTTTGTCGAAAGAAAAAGAAAAATGAGAGGACGAGGGAGGAAGGGAGGTAGAAAGGAGAGAAGGAAGGGCTAAGGGAATAAAGATACAAACGTAAGGGCACGTGCTCTAATAGGGATATACTCGGATTATCCCTCGTGCTTCGGACTCTGGTGGGTTAAGCGACGAATCACTCGTAACGAGGGCAAATAGAATTCGATTGGGAAACTTTTGAAATTCTGTGGCGGCTTACCCCTCGAGTGGAGGACGTCTCGTGTAAATAAATCTGAGCCCTTTTCCTTTTCTTTCTCTTCGATCCCATTCCCTCCCATTTGCCAAGATTACAGCCCCGGTTCTTCCGAGGAGCACCCCACTTTAGCAGATCCACCCTCAACACTTTTTCCCCGTGTACAGGATTCACCTTCAGGCGCATTGACATTGAGTCTACTCATCTCATCACATTTCTTTTGCACAAAGTTTAAAACACACAATATCCTAAAGGATTTCCCTGCGAGGGTTGTCGTCGAAGTACATCGAAGCAAATTGAATTTCCTGCCAACTAGCAGCGACGAAGCTCGATTCGGCATTGACTATTGGTCCTCCCACAGCTACGCCCGTTCACCCAGAGGATTCGCACGTGCACGCAGCTATAAGGCTTTTTATACGGACGGGGCTCCGATAACTGTTCGTTTGAATATTACCTCGCGAGGCTCAGCCAACCACTGTTAAATATTTACCCTTTCTTATTATGGCTTGTACACATGTTGGGCGAAACGAGAACGCGCGTTTACACGATCCTCAAAATTCTTCTCATTTCACTTTCACACGTCGTTGCCCCGTTTGCTGCCTCGGCGGCAAACGAAATTAAACGGTTCTCGAAATTAAACTAACTATTTTACTTGTTTCAGTACCTATGGTGTTGGCCCAGGGTGTTGCTGGACAGAAGGGAAGCCTTCCCTGCGACATTCAACCCATTGGGACGAACGATGGGGTGTCGATGGTTCTGTGGTTTAAAGAATCCAGCGGCGAGCCCTTGTACAGGTAAATTTATTATTCATTCTTATAGTGTTTCCATGATACCCGACGACTGCGTAATTACCAAATTAATGAGAGTTCAATCAAAGTCCTTACAATCCTCGAAGAGGATTTTAAGTTTGATTCAAATTAAATTATGCTCCTCGAGTCTTTTTCAGTTTTTTTTTTGTTTTCACAGAGATATTTCGTAGAAGGGGTTACTGGGTTAGCTATGTCTTACAACTTGAACTTACAGTTTTAGTAGTGAGAACAATATCAATTTAGCGAAATGGCACGTTTTCAAAAGCGATGTGGACCTTACGTTGAAAGACTTTCTCAATTGCCTCAGGGGTCGTTTGGTAAACTTTTTAACGTTTTTGTGAAATTAACTCCGTAAGTTGATGAGAAAAATATGGCGAGGATCTCGTGTGTGAAATGGATTTCGTTTCTTTCCTTCGAAAAGTACACTGAAGCCTTTAAATAATCTCATGGATTTTTACCCTTACAATCTCCCTGCTGGTGTTCCATATCCCTGTTGCGGTTCAGTTTTCGTATAGCTCCGGACTTCAGATAAATAATGTCATCGCAGCGCGAAAAATAATTTTTCCAAAATGGCTTTTATCACTTCTTTCTTTTGTCATAAAAACATCATGAACTGTCATACAAAAAATGGGGCGTTTCTCGACTACCAAAGGAAGCGTTTCATAACCCGACGCAACCGTCCGGTTCGGCACGTGTTTTCTCATACTCAAAACGTAGCTGAGAAATGAAGCCATATGTATGTTATGTATACATAACGATGACGACGAGAAACGTACGGCGAACTTTCCAAGCCGTCTTGACGCGTCATTGAAAGCGCGCCATCTAAAAAACATGAGCTGTAATTCGCAAACCAATTCGATTTGCCGGCAGCCAGCCAAAAGTCTGCCACGTCGCGGAACGGCGTTTCTTATTTTGATATGACTATCTTAGTATCCTCGGGTGCTTCAAGATGACGAGCATGAAATTACATTAAAGAAGAAACCGCCACCTGGTGTGATTTTATGAATTCAGCCTAAAAGTGGAAAGAAACACATCCGTAGCAGATCGTTATTTATTAATGTGTGAAAATGCGCCACCATGTGCGTTATATTAGATTGAGCTGAATTGGACCTTAATCTAAACACTATCCTACGGATCGGATCATTCTCAGAGGACTACCCGATGTCCGAATCTGGAGTACCGGTCGATGTAGCACTTAGGCCAGATAGAGCACCATCCGGCCATGGGATTTATTCAAGTAATTCTAGTACTGCCATCAGGCTACACATATGTATATGTTACAGTATAGACATAAGGCACATGCGTGCATCCGAGGGAAGCTGGTGAAGCTGCTGAAGCCGCTGAAGCCGCCGAAGCTGATGAAGCTGGGCTCGCCGTAATAGAATTCAGCTTCGGGAATCGAGCTGCTGACAACGTGAAAGTAGAAAATGATAGATGCATGTGTGCACGTATGTACGTACATGCACGTTGAAGGGGAAAGAAATGGGCGGCCGATAAAAAATAGAGAGAGATAGAGAAACAGATGGGAAATGTAACAGGGACGCCTCGCGCGTCCATCAATGAGATTTCCAGGGTTTGACTTGTAGAATATTCCGACTTGAAGTTACAATGTAGGACAGTAAGGCGAAGTTACAGGACACATTTACTTAGGTCCAGCGCGGTTGGACGGCCTACGTGGGTGGGAGCGGAGGACATCAGGGGCAAAAGGGTCGGGCGTGGAAGAACTGGATGGTAGCTGAAACGGCAGCTGAAATCCGAGGGTGAAGTTGAAGCCGATGAAGGGGTGGCGGATAGCAGTAGGCACTGACGGGACGAATTATCTGCATTGTCCGACTCGTAACGCGAACGCAAATGACGATGCAGTCCGAGAAACGAGCGGCAAACTGGTCGGCGTTATTACGGGCTATTGTGTGACAGGCGTTAAGCCGACGCTAGCGTCGCGACGCCATCGTATCGAACCGACCAGGGGGAAATAAGTGGACCAGGTCTGATTGAACGACCGAATGACAAAACGAGCGGTTAATGAGAAACCGGCCTTTATGCTGCTGGAGTGCATGGTCCGCTGCTGCTGCGACCTCATTTGCAACCTCAGAACAATTGTTCCACTCGTTTCCGACTGTTCCGCATTTTGGACGAAAGGTAACGCGTAAGACCTACACGGGGGAGATTCGCACGCGTTCAAGTGATAAGCAGAAGCGAGGAGGAATTGTGGAATTTAGAAATCGGAGAAACCCCTGAGAATGCGAATAATCCAGTCTTCAAAGACATTCCCGTCCTGGAATCTGGCAAAAGCAAGCATTCCGATAGTTGACTATCGCCACGTGTCGCGTCTGGGTGCATCAACTGCTCACCGGGAGGAACTTCAAAGAGGAACGGAGTGACTGTCGCAGTTCCTTAACGTTCGAGGTGTCCAACGTATCTATAGAGATAGGCTACGCTATGGGTAGATACAATACGTGTTCGTGCACAGAGCTCCGTCTGTCGGAGAGACAGAAGAGAAACTGCTGCGGATCGCTCAGTGGCTCCCTCTCTCTCGCACTCACTCAACTTCCCTGAGCGACGCCATACTCACACTTTTCTCTCGCTCATCTCTGCTCTCTGTCATTGTCACCCTGTCTTCCTTTTACTCGTCGCGTTTTTCAGTAACAAACCCAGCTTCCAAAAAACTTTCTCTTTGACGCTGACATTGGAACGAAATCAAATGAAAGCTCGGAAGGTTCTTCCCCGGATGTCAGGAGGTTCGACGAGCCTGCACCCTCCATTGGAGTATCAATTGATCAAGCTGCCAGGTAACTACCACCTTGATTAAGGTTGCACGGATGAAAGGTTCATCTTTAGAATTTGCGGGAGGTGGGAGGGGAGGGGGGTGTTAAACGAGCTCAATAGCTTCACTCGTCGTAATGAATCTCGTAGGAGGAATGCTTTAAAAAGGATCGAAGCTTCCGCCACGTCCAGCTCAGTGACGCAATCTTCACTTCCGGTTCACTGATACCGTTGCTACTTATCGTAATCTTCAACTTATTGGCCCATTCTTTGCGTTTCACGAGAATCAATTAATTGTAGAGGTCAGGTACCTGGGGAGGTTCTTGATTCGAAGGTAAACTGGAATCGAAAAAGAGAAAGGATCCTGACAGGAGGATGAAAATTGGGTCTATCGATTGATGGTTGTTCGGAAGCCAGTCTCACCTGTGTGCTCCGATAACTCTCTTTGAAATTAGTACAAGGGCAGGAAGTTAACGAGCGCGGTTGATACCGCAACAAGTTCGTTAACTCGGAGAACGGCGAGTGTCACTCTTAATGCTGCTTGTTCGAACTTCCATTTTCACTAACCTGAGTTTGCCTTCTCGAGTGCCTTGCCCCTTGGGGTACATCCGCTCCGGGGGAAAGGAGTCTCCCTGGCAGAAGATGCTACGGAGGTGAAGGGTGTAAAGAGCGCGATGCTCGTGACGAGAATTCCTTACAATTCTGGTGGCCTTTCTCTCTTTCTCTTGCCTTCTCTTTTTTCCTTTCTTCCTTTCTTCCTTTCTTCATTCGGCGTAGCAAGACGCTATTGCTATTCAGATCTTGGGCTTGCACTCTCTCCTACTTCTCAGGAGCATCCACCAAGGGATCAAATATTATTGCTCGGGTAAGCGTCTGCCATCTTTATACACTATTACCGGTCGATAGTAAATCTTTCGAGCTTTACTCTCCATCGTTCGATCAAATTCCCTTGATGTCCTTAATTGTAGTGACTTTAGTCTTCATTTCGACTCTTAGGGTTTACGAATACTTTTCATTTTTCTTCCATCGTTATTTCACGTTATACAGAACTTCCGACAACAATGTAAACAATCGATTCGCATTCTTACTATTGAATATAACGTAGTTGTAGGAGAAAGAGAGAGGAGAAGGAGGGTGTAGTTAAAGGAGGGAGGAAGACAAGGGGAAGGAAATGAGAATAAGAGTAAATTGGCTTTTCTTCGGAAAGAAAGCAAACCCCGGTACAGACGTCCGAGGAACGTTATTGAGAGCATGTGGAAGGTCGAAAGTCTAAGGTTCAAGGTCGAATAGAAAGTGCACAGGGATTCTGACTGATTGGATGCTCTAAGAAGGAGCTCGGGTTAAGTCCATGTGTTGGCAGAGAAGCCTTTCGGAAGGGAGTATGTCTTCCAGACAAGACGTAGAGAAAAACTCGTCCAGGACTTCTTGAAGGTGAAGGAGCAGTCATGACGTATGGAAAGAAGAGATAAAAGGGATGATAGAAAGATAAGTCGCCGGAGGAGCAGCGAGGAGGGGAGCACTGGAAGAAGGGGAGGGGGTGTAATCGTAAGAGACAGGAAAGAACGCAACGTTCCTTTTTGAAATTAAATTTCGCCAAGAAATGCGTAATTATTGGGATTTCCACGATACTTTTCTGGATTTTCGCCCGTTTTCATCATAACTCCCGAAGGAATTGACACCCCAGCTACCCTGATAATGCGAAGAACATCGAAGAAGTTCGTTACGTTAGGCTTTCAGTAATTTGCGGGCCGCGGGGGGGGGGGG